AAAACTCATCCAAAAAAATCACATTAAACCCCACCGATTGAACCTAACTAGGAAGGATCACAAAGATGACAAAATTCATTACACACACACAATTACATATTATTTATGTGTCGAAAGTTGGGTAGAATCACAGTGGTGACTGGCGGCAAAACTCTTTCTCAGAGTATTTAACTCAACTGCATATTTAAAATTTAAACTCAAAATCATTGATTAAACTAACTCAACTTCTTATCAATAAAAATGATAAAAAATTTTTAATAAATAAATACGAGATATTATTTTAGTTTTATTTATAAAATAAAAATAATATTTTTTTGTTATATTAATAAGACACTTTAATGATTAAATTATTGCGTACATCTTTATTATTATTATTTTTTGCTTCTATTAAATGTGAAGAAAGTTATTAAATGTTAACTTAACAAAGTTAACTTGCTGAGATTTTTTTTCTCCCTGCTCTCTGAAGTCAAAATTATTTAAGTAATTGGAAAATTTATCTATAATGTGCTCATGCCTGTAATGAGAAGTTTATAAAGGCCGATGAGCTCTGTAATCCCAGTTCAGAGTATAGCACGATCACCTTAATCGTCGTTTCCACAGTCATTCTTCTTCTTCCTCTAGTCCTCCTTCTTGTCTGAAGCAAACATGACGAATCTGAAATCCGTGACCATGATCTTCATTGTCACTACAATCTCCATAATATCACCCAGCCACTGCAGCAGAGTCAGGAAGATTCACCCAAACGGCAAAAGCCTAATCGAGACCACCTGCAAGAACACTCCCAACTACAATCTCTGCGTTCAGTCCCTAAAATCCGATCCCGCCAGTTTCACCGCAGACGTCGCAGGTAACAATTAATTAATCTCATAAACAACGATCATTCATTCCATCGATTCAACTCTGTACATTAATACCTGAACCAATCATCTAATTGAAATCGGGATTATTCGCAGGGCTAGGTCTGATAATGGTGAAAGTCACGGCGGCGAGAGCGAAGGCTGCGAGAAACAGAATCAACCAGCTGCTCCACAGAGGACGCTTAGGAGCGAAGCAGGAGAAGGCATTGAGATCGTGTGCTGAGATGTACAAGGTGGTAGTGGAGAACGACGTGCCGGAAGCCATTGAAGCTCTGAAGAAAGGAGACCCAAAGTTTGGTGAAGATGGGGTTAGGGATGCGACAGACGAAGCAACGTATTGCGAGGGAGAGTTTTCCAGCGCCAAATCGCTGCTTTCACTAGAAAATAATGATGTGGCACGATGCCGCCGCTGTTGCCGTTGCTATTGTCCGGCAGTTACTTTGAGAAATCACGGTTTTTATTTGCAAAATAATTACTTTATCAAAAATATAAATTTTATAAGTAATTTCTTCCAATTTTATTGATATTAATATAAAAAAATAAAATGTATAAAATTTTAAATACATTTCTATATAATAAATTTAAAAAATAATATTATATTATTTTTTTATAAAAATAATTTTAAAATATTATTTAAAAATTACACTGTAATTTATAAATGAGATAAAAATGAGTAAATTTTTTTTTTTTTGGGCCTGAAGCGAGTGAGCAGTTAACCAGATAAGGTGGCTCAGAAAAAAAAAAAAAAGATAAGGATGCACCGGCAAGTTAGAATTGCAACAGTGCACTCTAGTAGTGCTGACTTTATTTTATCCAAAAAAAAAAAATGTTAACAACGCATGGTTGAAATAAGGTTAGCGTGAATTGAGAGAATTGAGAGTCGGGTTTGGTCACCAGAATTAAAGTATATTTTTAAGTTTAAAAAAAATTTATAAAAATAATTATTTCTTTCATTAAAAAATATAAAATATTTTTTAAGAGATTGAATATTTAAAAAATAAAGTATTTTTAATATTTTAAAATACATTCATCGTAATTTTTTTTAAAGTCTGTAACGAATAATTATTTTAGAATGAAACACTCTATTACAAAAAAGTAAATATAAAAAAATAATATTAATTTAAAAATAAATAATTATCTTATTATAGAATGAAGTTCGATTAAAAATATTTTATATTTTTAAATTGAAATAGTATACATTGTTAACTAACAAAATCCTTACATCCTTAGCAAGATTTAATCTCATATATAGTCTTATAAATCTTGTGTCAAGTATTTACTAATTGAATTAAATTTCATTAGTGTAATAATGTATAGTGTGACAAAAATAAAACAAAAAGTTTCTTTGGTAGTAAACCAAAGGTTGTCGTATTTCTAAAACTCAAACAGGAGAGTTCTAATTAAAAGGGCGCTAAAGTATACATATTATTATTTAATTTTATATAATTTTTTATTTTAATCTCTTAATTTTATACAGTATCTTTTCAATTCTTTAATTAAATTTTTTTAATTTTATGACAAAAAATATTTTACATTAAACTTTTAAAAATTAGCAAAATATTTTTATATATTGACATATTAAATTATTTTATTTAAAATAATAATAATTACACAAAAAATAATAACTTGAAACTAAGGTATTATGACTAGTGGACTGAAAATATATTTTATAAAATAAAAAAATTAAATTAAAATCTTATATAAAATTATAAGATTTAAAATACACTTTTCAATTAAAAAGGTATAATTTCTTTATCAATTGTATCAAACACTTGTTGGTTTGAAACTTTATACCATCCCACCTTAGTGTTTTATTTATTTATTTATTCCTCTGTAAATTTTTCAGGAAATATGTGGATAGCTTTACCTTTTGATCAGTTTTGCAACCATTTTTTATTTTTGAAATTATCATTTATTCATAAAAGTTTTATATATTTGACAAATTTAATTTGTATGTCAAATCTGAAAACATATGAACTCTTATTGCTATATTTGAGAGCAAGAACAAGAAAATCAACATAAGCATGACTGAGCCAACTAACAACTTTGGACGTTCATATGTTATTATATTTTTCTTAAAAAAATCATTTTTGGTATAAAATATAGAAAGAAAAGAGCATAAAAATAGAAAAAATCTTTCTCTATCATTAGCATAGAAATTAAAACTCTCTTTTCTGAAAAAAATATTTATCATGTTCTCCTCTTAAATATAAGGAAAATAATTTTTTTCATTTGTCCTTTCCTAAAATTTACTATTTTATATGGACCAACAAGGCAATAACCTCATAACCTTTAACAGTCTTGGAAGCCCTAGCCATGTCGTAAATTTTTGGAAAAATGATATATATAGAAATTACTGTAAAAAGAAATTCTTGGATGGATTCATTGCAACATGCTATGTATGATCCATCTAATAAATTTTTTAATACCTTTTATTTTTATAATAAAATATCTATTTAATTTTTTTTACTTTTTATTTTTTTTACTATTATTAACGTCTAAATTAATTTATGCCGTTTGAATGTTATATTTTTATTGAATAGATTATGAATGATGCAGTGTATCGAGTTATCTAAGATTTTTTTTTTTTTTGCTATCTAATGTACAGAGGCAAATGATTATTCACGTTGATGTAATCAATGCCTGAGAAATCATCATTTAAATTACATATAACTTAATTTAAGTAACTTATATCATATGAATGTAAATAAATGGACAATTATGAAAAATCTAAATAATATGCAGTGCACAGGGCGGATGTATAGTGTGATAGATACTCAAAAGTCACAAATTAGGTGATTGTATTGGTAACTATCAATGAATTAATCATAAAAAGGTAATCAATTAATTAATTAACAACTTAATTAATAACATCAAATTAAATCAGAATACAGACGTGCAGATACCAAATTAAACGAGATGCAGTGTACAAAGCCAGATATATTAAACACAGATTTAATTAAGTTGATAAACAAAATCAGGAATAAATTAAATATGCTTAATTATTAGAATTAGAAACTACGGCAAATGCTAGTTATAAGAAACGCCAATAACATTAAAGAAACACAAATAGTATCCTAATTAATCTTTCTTTCAACAAACAAAAACTTTAATCTTTCTAAAATAAATCAACTTAAATAAGTTAGTGCCAATGTTGCACAACCTCCAATCTTTTTTATAAGACACTTCACAAAAATAAATAGTAACTTTGATAAGGTGTTTATAAAAATATAAAATAATATTCTATTTTTTAAGTATAAGAAGTATGCTTTGCTGATAATCGAAAATGTATGTCTCCTTCAAGATATTGAGAGCAATGTGTAAAAATTGCTATAGGTGTGTTTGGGTTTCAAACTTTCAGTTGAAAAAAATTGATTGATGTAGAATGTAATGATGTTTGGACTTTGCATAATATTTTTGAAATTAATTTTGATAAAATTGATTTCAATATGCTAACTTTTGATAATATTTTATGGATATTTAAAAGTTAAATGTAAATCTTCTATATCCCTTGAGATTTTTAAAAGAATGACTTTAAAATTGAAGAAAGCAACAAATGTTTTATCTGTGGGTAAAAAAAGCATTTTGCTAATAGTTGCCCTAACAAATCCAAAAAAGAAAAAAGCATGAAAGGTATATTTTAACCAAATTTTAATTGCATATAGAATCACTCTCAGTTTTTTTACTACAGTTTTTATAATAATATTTATATCCATTTAATTAATAAAAATATAATTAAAAACTTGAAATATTTTTTAACAAATAAACTTATACAATAATTTTTTTTAATCTACGTGAAAAACTCAAATACCCTGTGAAAATGACCAAGAGAAGTAAGATGCATTCATCTCATGGGGGTCTCTTTCTTTTCGGTGCTAAACTGTCCGAATCTGTTTTTTTTTTTAAAAAAAAATGGGACGAAAATAAAGGAAATTACTCTTAATTAAACTTCCTTACTTATTAAATATTAAATATTTTTTAAAAAACTCCTAAACTTCCTTAATTTAAAATTAGTAATTACTTGAAAGGTCTAAAACGGTACGTTATTATATTACATATACATATTCCATACATATGTCCACATTCTTTCATAGTCGAAGCTATAAAAGGCCAATAAACACCATTCAGTTCTGAGAAGCACAGCAAAATCGCAATACGTTTATCATCACTTCCTCCATCACCATTCTCCTTCTGACCTTCTTCTCCTTCTTATTATCTGAAACAAACATGACGAACATGATATCTCAAGCGACGCTGATCATCGTCTTTATTGTCGCCACAACCTCGTTGACATCACCCAGCCATTGCAGCAGAATCAGGATGGTCCACTCCGAAAACGAAAGCCTGATCGAATCCACCTGCAAGCAAACCCCTAACTACGATCTCTGCGTTCAATCCCTGAAATCCGATCCCTCCAGCTCCGAAGCCGATGTTGCAGGTAACAATCTCGCAAACCACCTTTCATTAATTCATCCCGTCGATTGATCGACTCTTGATCAATCGCGGAATCAATCATCGATGGTCTTGGACTGAAATTGCGTTTAATAATTGTTCACAGGGCTTGGTCTGATAATGGTGAAAGTCATAACGGCGAAAGCGAAGGCTACGAAGAACAAAATCAACAATCTCCTGCAAGGAAAGGATTTAGATCGGAAGCAGAAGGGGGCATTGAAATCTTGTCGCGAGATGTATGAGATGGTGCTGGAGACGGACGTTCCGGAAGCCACTGAAGCTCTGCGAGAAGGGAATCCTAAATTTGCAGAAGATGGCGTTAAGGATATCGGAAACGAAGCTACTTATTGCGAAGGAGAGTTCAACGGCACCAAATCGCTGCTTAAACCAGAAAATGAGGCCGTGCGTGAACTCGCTTGGGTTGCTGTGGCCATTGTTAGGCAATTACTGTAAGGATTACTATGATGTACATGTTTAATTATTGTTAAGTGTTCTATGTTTATTTGATCTTTCCTGCTGTATTATTAATTATTTGAAACTACAATTTTTTTTATTTGATTGCTTTATGGCATTAGTATTATATTTTTGGGTTGAAGTGCTATTAAACTAACTTTGCTAAGGTTACTTAGAGTGAAATCATATATATGAATCAGGATGGAAAGTGAATGAAGAAAATGACTCGTGTGGGTATGTCTTTTTCGGTTTTTCCTTGTCACAGGTAACGTGTGTGTGTTTTTATACTAACTATATATATATATAATACATAATTTAGTTTAAAGAATAAAATACGATATATAATGAAAATGTTGCATATGCAATGCAAAATAAAAAGATGATATTATGATACTTAAAATATTATATATATATATATATATATAAACCAATTCTCTGTGTTATATTAATTTGCATTGTTTTTTCTAAACATATAAATAAAAAGCTTGAACAAAAAAAATATATAAAAAAATATCATTGATAGGAGGCGTCACGTAAAAGGAAAAATGTCACGCAAAAGGGACAAATGTTAAAGCGTTTGCAGTTTAATGCGTGCTAGTGTGTGAGGCGTGGGTGTGTGATGGATGTGTATGAAATCTCCTCCTTTTCCTTTACATGTGAGAAGGGGTTAGATAGGATCACAGATTCAAAATCATAATATGGGGATCATGACTGCAATTTTATCTAAATATGGGACGCCTAACATTAATTTTTACATTTTTTTTCAAACAAAATCACACCTATTAAAAATTTGAAGTATGAGGGTCACGGCGTACTAACTCCTTGTAAAGTACTAACCCCTTGTGGATTCTTCACTGGAATGGACATATTTGAATAAATAATTTCATATTTATTTTAAAGTAAAACACTATATTAAATAGAGATAAATATAAAAAAATAAATTTAATTTAAAAATAAATATATTTTTTATTGAGGATAAAATTTAATTAATAATGTCTTATATATTTTAACAAAAGGAGTATCTCTATAATAATAAATTAAAGGTTGGTCCAATCATTAAAATTTGGCCAATAAAACCTTATTGCTATGCGATTCTGAATATCTTTATAAACACTTTTTGAATTTAGAGACAAGCCTTGATTATTGAGACCCAAAATTTTGTCTAAAAAAATTTAGTGTGTCTTTATGGAAATTTTTGTTCATTGGTAAATAAGTTTATCTGTTTATATTCAGTAAAATTCAGTTTAAAAGGTCAAATTTATAAGAATTAAAGGGCATTTTGCCCCTCAATTATTTGCTCAAGAGCATCTGATATCTCTAACTTTTATGTGTTGCAATTTTCTTCTTAAATATTTGAAAATGATACACTAGCATCCTATTATTAAAAAAATTAACTTTGACTATCAATTAATGATAAAAAATTAAAAAAAACTAAAAATTATAAAAAGGCCTATAAAATTGCAAATAAATATTCTATAAGAAAATTTAAATCGGCATATAAAATTGCAAATAAGTATTCTATAAGAAAATTTAAATCAATTAAGTATTTAAAATAATAGTTGGTCAAAATAATATTTTGATCTTTTATGTAGATAAAAATAACATTTGTATATTATTATTTACAAGTAATTTAAATATCAATTTTTGTAGGATACATATATGTAATTTTATAGGTCATTTTTTATAATTTTAAGTCAACTAACCGTTGAAGTTTGATTTTTCTTTATAGTAAGGTATTCAATGTACAATTTTTAAAATATTGAAAGAAAAATTTATATGAAAGTTTAAATATCAAATATACTTTTAAATGAAAAGTTGAGGAGCAACAAACATCTTTTAACCCAACTTATAACTAGATCAACTCAATTTACCCTTCAATCACATGGCTACTCTCAAACTTACATGTCAGTATTTCACAAACCAAAATTGTGCTGTGCTTTCGAAACTATGATTAACTTTCTCCAACTCCACTTAGCCATTAGAAAGGTTCATTGAGTTCTTTCTACCCCAAAAAAAAAAAAAAACTGCATTCAGTCACTAAGGAATAATCATCATATTGTGACACGTCATTCTTATATATATTTTTTATATAAAGTGTAACTCATGCGAGTTATCTAATTATATTTTAACACATCACTCTTATTTTTTTTTCATTCAAATATTTTTTGTAATACATCTTCTATGATTCTTCAATAATCTTTCACATTTTCTTATAAGTCTTCAATGCATCTTAAAGTAACTTTAATTATCATCCATATTTCTTCAAAATTCTTTAATAATCTTCAAAGATTTCTTAATTTTTTTATCAATAATCTTTATTAATCTTTAAAAGTCTTCAACATGTTTTCAAGAAAAATCTCTTAAAATAGCTTCAATTATCTACCACCTTTCTTAACAAACCAGTAATTTTCAAGAGTTTTCAATTTTCTTTATGAATCTTCTCTAACTGTCAAAGTTTTCAACATATCTTCAATGTTTTTTTTTTCAAATAACTAACAATTATCTTCTATCTTTCTTCAAAGTTCTTAAATAATCTTCATGAGTTTTCAATTTTCTTCAAAAATCTTTATTACTTTTCGTCAAGGTCCAAAAAAAAAAATCGCATTGTGTGGCCTTGTAAAATGCTCACATACATGAAGAGAACGTATTTTCTACAAGCATAGGCAAATTTTATCCTAAATGTAAGAGTTAGTTAATTAATTTATAGAAATTAAATAAATCAGTTATCTGTAAATATATATATATATATATATATATATATGCCACTCTCTCCATCTCAATCTATAAAATATTACTATGAGAGATTTAACATACCAAAATATAAGATATTTTGAAAAAAATAAAGTTTTATTAATGATATTTTTTCAATATTACCTTTTATATTATATTATCTCTTTTTAATATTTTTTCACAAATAGAGTATTGGATTAAGTGTATTTTTAAAAGTTTATATTTTTATCTTAAAAAATAAAGTTATAAAGTGTATTTGATTAATTTTATTTGTATGCCTGATTTTATTTAAAAATGTCACATAAATTGGGATGGAAGGAGTAGTTTTTTTTTCTAAGATATAGTTTATGTTAATAATTTATACTGAAATATTATCAACATAAATTATACATTCTAACTATAAAGATAGTTCAAGAAAAAATAATAAATACAAAAATGAAGGATAAATAAAAATTATTTTTGAACTTTAGATCCATCGATTTTGAACTCATTTATTGTATAAAATATTTTTTCAAATTCTAAAAATGGCATAATTTAATCGTTACGGGGGCTGCTGTTAATAAATTAAGTTAAATTTTACTATTAGTTAACATGTAAGAAAATAATTTCAAAAATCATAATCAATGATCCAAAACTTACAGACAAAAGACCAAAAAAAAATTAGCCCTTTTATTAAAATTTTTGATATCCTTTCATGTCATTTTTTATATTACATTATTTGTAATAGTTGAAAAAATAATTTAAAAAATAAATAATAAGTTTATGGTATCTATGATATAAAGTTTAAAAAATAATTTACTCTTTTATAAAAAAAATAAAGGAAATCAAAATCTTACCGTTTAGACTAACGAGACAAGCAAACATTAATTTTCTATATTTTGACTTTTGAGTAACTTGGAAAAGACACAGATGCAGATTCCAGAGAGGCCAGCTTCTCGGCATTTTTGTTTTATCAACGGATAAAACAAATGATAAATAATGTTGTCTGATTATATTTAATAAGCTTGAATTTAACTTCTCTTCTTTTCATGTGCATTTGTTTTTCATCTTCAACATTTGATAATTATTTTTGTCTGAAAATAAAATATTGCTGTGATGTTCGTAAATAAGGGCTGGAATTCTGAGTTTACCGTTAACAGTGAAGTTTTTATATACATATATATATAGAAGAACGTTAGATAAATTGAGTCTAGTTCAGCACATGTTTTTGTGCCCAGAATGCACTATAAATTAATAAGGTGCTCACATCAACTGTTGAGAGTTGACCATCTTATAAATTATGAGTCAAATTTTTATCAACTAATTAAACTAACATTTATTAATGAGAAAACATAATGATTAATTTTTATAGTCTTAACATGTTTTGATATTAGTTTTTGTTTTTTTGTTGTTGCACATTTCATGTCCCTCTAATTTATCCTATGTATAACATTAATCTCTCTATTTTTAAGCATGTACAAAAGAAGAATGAAATGGCAATAACAATGTTAAATGCACTGACATGTAACTGACATTTTTAATCTTTGTGTTAAGGTTGAATTATGCTTTAAATCATTGAAACCTAAAACATGAAATAGAAGAGTGGACAACACTATTAACACGTTAAATCATAATTCCATTCAACACATATTAACAATATTAGTCACAAATTAACATATTTACCATTGTTGATACAATTTTATTGTCTTTTATGGCATATTAAAAAAAAGGGAGTAATGTTATAGATATGATACATTAGAAAGACATAAAGCAACGAAAAAAATTATAACTTATACCAAAATATATTAAATTATATTATTTTTTGCAGTGTACATAGTTTGGAATCGCATGCATTGTCTTGTTCTCACCTCTCTTGTTCCGACGCATGTCATATTTTTTGAGTTCCCAAGAGAAGTTGCCTCCCCTCGTTTCAGAGCTTTCTAGATACATTCGAAAATGGGAGAAAATTATGATTCATGGTTTTTTATGTTGCAGATTATATAGGGGATTAAATTGCATAACTTTGACGTAGAAACATTTTTTTCCAAAAAAATTACCCTTAATTTTCCTAAAATCTTAATTTATGTGCAAATAATTTCTATTATTTTAGAAATTTGACAATGAATTTTCTTAAAACTAATAAGTTCCCACATGTTACTCATTTGCTCTTGGTTGATCCATTATTTTATTACTAATGATATATAACACGATGAAATATTAGTTATATCTATCCTAAAATAAAATAGTCATAATTTATAAATAGTGATATTATAAAAAAAACTTACCTAAATTTTCAAAAGCTGGAAAGGATCACCAATATGACTCAAATCAAATATATTATAATCTCATATTCTCAATATATGTGTCCATTTATAAGAAGCTACAGTAGTACAATTTATTTTTCACATTTCATACAATGCTCAAGAAAATATAGGTGTTGGTTAGAAAGAAGAAAAATGAGATCCGGACTTGACTCAATCTTGATTAATTTAAAAGTAGAGGAATTAATATTAGAAAGGTCTCAACTTGACTCAATCCTAATTAATTTAAATTTATATGAGGAAATCCCATAATACTATAGATGTTGCATACTAAAAAAGAAATATGTGTATGTAATTTAGATAAAAACTACTTATGCTTGGTTTAACTAAGGAGTTATACCAATACTCAAATAGGGAGGCATCATAGTTCAAATCCTGTGATAGACCTTTTGCCAGAAAAGATTCCCACTCAGTTCTATTTAGAATTAGTCTCAACCCAAACCTCTTCAACTTGATATGGGCAGGGAGAATAAAAGAAAAGAAAAAAAATATGTACGTGAACGATGTCCTCGATTATTTATAAATCAATTTAATCATGTTTTATTATAATTAAAAAAACCTTAAACTTTGCTAATTTATTTTAAAATTTAATAAATTTTTACATCTACTTCTTCTGATAATAAAGATAAAAGGAATTATTTTTAATAATTTATTCTACCTTTTAATAAGAGCATAACATTAAAAATAAAAAATAGTGAAGTGTTTGGCTAAAATCAATATTGTCTTTTCTTATAAATATGATATGATTAGATGAGTAAGTTATATTAAATCCTATGTAAGAGTGATGAAGACAACGCGTTAGACGAGAACAACGTTCCTTTCACAATAGCACAGTAGGCCGAAAAATGAGTTCTTCTTCACTCACACTCCTCACTCTTCTGCTTCTTCTGGCTTTTACTCTCTTTCCGTCATCCCAATCAGAGAAGGCCGATGCCGATGACATGATTGACCGGATATGCAAGAAAACTCCATTCTTCGATCTCTGTTCCGCCACGCTCCACGCCAACCCTCTCACTCCCAAAGCCGATCTCAAAGCCATCGCTCTCGTCGTCCTCAAGGACATTCTCCTGAACGCCACCGAAACCCTATCGCACATCGAATCCCTCATCCGCCACACCTCAGATCGACGATTGGAGCAATCCCTAGCTTTCTGCGGCGAATGCTACATTCCGATCATCAAGTACACTCTCCCTCAGGCCGCCGACGCCGTCAGCCACGGTCAATTTGGGTTCGCCGCGTATTGTGTGGGCTATACTGAGAAGGAAGTGCTTAGATGTGAGAGGAAGCTTGCATGGTCGAAGAATTCGTCTTCACTGGAGAATCAAAACGGCGTCGTGCATAAACTTGCCGGCGTGGCTTCTGCAATAATCAGATTGTTACTAAAGGCTTGATTTGATGATAGTTTTGTGATCTGTAGCTCTGTGTCTTCCTCTTTGTTGTGTAGATGGTAGTTCCAGTAACAATGGAAGGATGTTATGTTATAATCGGAGTTTACATTCTAGCAATGGCTCAAGAGGATGACAGTGCCAAATTTCTTGGCATGACATCTTGGCAAAAGTTAGATTAAATTTGATGATTTAAATTTGATAACTTTTTAAAATATAGATTAATTTGTAATATTAAAATTTAACTTAAATGATTCAGATTTTAAGTGGAAGTTCATTGAAAGGCAAATGTAATGGAGAGAAACAAAGCTCTTAGAAGAATATTTTTGCTGTTTGTCTTCCTTTTCGAAGAAGAGTTGGATTAAGGATAAAAATATTTTAAAAATAGAGTGACATTGCTTCATTTAAGATTTTTATAATTTTATAATTCTAATTATCATTAAGAAATTTTTAAAAATATTTAACAGTGATTACTCTCTATTAAACTTGAGACATTTATTAATTTTGAAAGCTATAATGTCGTGCAAATGACACATCAGATGGTTAATATTTACATCTTTTTGTGTTCACTTTTGAATATTATTTACAAAAGTATGGAACATAAGATTTAACCGCATATCTTTTCTGCTAATTATCATAGAATTGAATCAATCGAAAATCAAATTTTGAATCTTCTTTTACGTGAAGTTTGAGACAAACGACAGTCTAAAAGTTCACATGAAAGCATTAATATAGTCATACCAAATGGCAATGTGTTCCAAAAGATTTGTTCATTATTGTGGGCTGTGGCAAATGCTTCAGTGCTAAAATTCAATAATGGCGTTGGAACTTGGAAGCATTAATATAACACATTGCTGAACTCATGATGGCCCCTGCAACAACACATCCAATTTTACGATATTATTTTTTATTAAATAAAACATTTATATAATATAAATCGATGCTAATTTTTTTTTAATTATAGAAATAGGCACTAATGGTCTAAGATTACAAGTGTGATAGAAGTAGAACTCATGACCTTTCACTCATAGAAGAGCTTGCACGTCATTAAGTTACAAGGTGATTGGTTCAATGCTACTTTTTTTAACGATCATACAATTAGTTTTTGTTTTTTGTTTTTCTTTTTGCAACGTCAAAGAGATAGAGAACCTGGCATGCACGGCTTCTTGCAAACCGACTGCGAGATGACAAGCAAGCTTTGGATCAACAATGTCCAGCCCGTAGCCCAAAGCCCCATATAGATCAAATTCAGATTCCAATTAGGCATATACTCCAAATTCTGAAAAAAAAAAAATTATTATATTTAAAGGATTGAATCTAGAGAAAGGGACTAATTCCTCATAACAAACTAGAAGTATTTCATTTTCCCTCACTCTCCATTTTCCTTCTTTTTCTCTCATATATGTTAGATCAAAACTTTTCAACAATTCAGGTTTAATATGATAAAATTATTATTATAATTTTACATAAAATATATAAATAAAATATTATAGTTTTAAATTGGTTAGATCAAATTTTAATAATTCAATTTTATTTATATATTTGTATGTAAAATTAAAATAATAATTTTATCAAATATTAAATCAGAACTATTAAAGCATTGATCTAACGATAATGAGGGGAAAAGGAGAGAAATGAATAATAAAGGAAATAAAGACACCCCTCTCCTCCTCACAACGTGATGAATTAAAATTTTAATTTTTATTAAAAAAATGTGTCCCATTTAATGCCTAATCGTACTTTAAATAAAATTATCTTCAATAAAAGGATATCTATAAATAATTTAAAAAAATCATAAACTAATAAATATTGGTCTAATTGGTAAAACTTTGATTCATAATATATAAAACGGTAGAATCAAATCTTATTGCTAATATAAATATTTTATTGTTAGACGATTTATAAATACTTTTATAAGTACTTTTTAAGTTAGTAGGCATGCTAGTCATAGTGAACCTCAAGACTCAACTCACTTAAACTTTATTTGTTAAAAAAAAAAGAACTTAGAAAAAATCATTATCATCAAATTTAGGAGATGCACGTGCATTTACAAAAATTACAAATGAATTAATTCACGTCATTGTTCTCGGAGTTGCTCTAACATGTTTGATCTTAGTTTTCTCATTCTCAATTTGAATTTCTAATGAGCTCATCACCTTTGAAAGCAAAAGCAAACTAACACGCTCGCCAAGCGTCGAACGTCAGTCTAATTATAATGATTTTTGTAGAACTGCCCTTTTTTATGCTTTTACATGAACTGATTTTTTCCCCTACACGGTTTCCATGGCATTGTAATAAAAAAAAATTGAAAATGAAAAAAAGTCTTTATTCCAATAAAAAAAACTTACTAAAATAAAAGGTACAATAAAAATTAATCCAACTAATAAGGATTTAACTTATGACCTACAAGATCGTGCAATTAAATCTTGCTATCAATGTAAAAGGACTTTGTTAGTGATAGATGTATAAGTACTTTTGTAAATGCCATATAAGTCTAAAAGCATGTCTTAACCCTGATAAATATTCAAGATTCAACTCACTCAAACTTTCCTTTACATAAAGGAGGGAAAACACTATTTTTTTGGGTCCTTGCACTTTGTTTAAATTTTGGTATAAGTTTCTATATTTTTTTTAGTGTTTCAAGTCCTTATACTTTTTTTCATATGCAATGTGGGTTCCCATATTTTCAAAGTGATGTTGATGTGGTACAAACAATGTTAATAATGCTGACATGTTAATTAACATAATTAATTTTTATGTTAATGTGTCAAATTGATACTCACATGAATTTTTTAATGAGCAATTTTTTTTTTTAAAAAAAGCACACATCAAATCAAATAAAAAGGTTGACTTCAACTCTTTAAATTTTTGTTTATTAAAAAAAATTCATGTCAGTATCTTTATCTCATTTGATGTTGGCTTTTTAAAATTTTTGCTTATTAAAAAATTCATGTAAGCATTTTTATTTCATTTGATATACGAATAGTTTTTTTTTAAATTTTTGTTCATTAAAAAATTTATATCAATATTAATTTGACACATAAGCACAAAATTAACGATGTTAATTGCCATGTCAATATTATTAATACCGTTTGTACCACATCCATATCCTTATAAATATATAAGGACTAATATTGCATTAAAAAAAATATAAAGTTTTAAAACACTGAAAAATAAACAAAAATCTATATTAAAATTGAAACAAAATAAGGAACCAAAAATAATATTTTCCTCTAAAAAGCACAAGCTTGGGGTTAGAGTCTTAGGGATATGAATCGTTGAAAAAAAAAAAAAAAAACTCAAAAATGCTCATAAATTGGATAATGATTAATGAGTCAAAAAGCAAAAGTGATATCCCCACAGCACCAAAACAAACAAGTTGCTATCTTTTTGGGTTTTTGACTGAAACAAGGTGCTATCTTAGCCATACACCTTTTTGCCTAAAGCCCAAAAATACTGTTTCTTTCCTCTTTCTTTTCTTTTTTTCCCTCCTCCTTTCTTTCTGTTTTTTCCCCACCAAAAGCAAAGTCCCTTAGAAATACTTTAGCATAAAAAAAATTATCATCTCTAACCTTTCTTTAGGATGTAAGAACCTTTTGGTAATTGAATCTTAATTAACGTTATTATCTCTTACAGACCTTGTAATTAAAAATTAAAAATTTATCCATACAAAAAAAAAAAATCCTACTATTTGCAAGTTATAAATACTTCAATTTGCGAAGAGGAAAACATAATGTAGTGATAAGTGAATCAGAATGTATTTGAATATATTTATACATACATACATACATACATACATATATATATATAGAGAGAGAGAGAGAGATTCAAGTGCGTGACTCGACACTTGCAATTATTTGTTGACATTACATGCTTTGTACATAACCTACATATTCCTTGTTTGAGTCTCGTACGTTCCCGTAACTAAGCTGACCTATTTCAGAAGCCTCAAAAGCAAAACTTGCTCAAACCCTAAAACTTTCTTTTGCCATATTCACTTACTCTATGAACATCTCTGAAGCAACTTAGCAACATGAAGTTACAGAGGAGGCAAACACAAAGCACCACCACCACCAAAGGAGGCAGCGGCAAGGCCAATGAAGAACATGGCCAGCACTACTCCTTCCCACACAGATTAATACAATACAGAAGAACACTAAACTATATTGAAACACAAAAATAAAATGGCTTCTCGTAAGGAGCACAGAGAGCACTTTCACCCCCTCTTTGTTTACTTTTTCTGGGTTAAACTGCATTACCCTGCATCTCTTGGCTGTTTTGCTGGCAAATATGAATTTGCGATTGGCTGTACAAAACTGCAAGATACAATGCAGCAACAGAAATTCATGTTATATGGCAGGCCCAACAACGAAGTACAGTAAGGTAAGAAAATATGAAATTTAATAATTTTCTCAAAATATTGTAGTTCACTAGATGTTATCATAAAAGGGTCTGAATAGTTAGTTTAGACGTTGAGATAGCCCAATGACGTTGTGCAATAACCGATCTCATTGAATGGGATAAGACTTGATATTATTGTTGTTATTAACTAATCATAAAAGGATGAAATGCAGTCCTCGATCTCAATGCTGCCAGATAAAAAAAGGCCTATTTGCAGGCAATGGAAATTACTTATAATAAAATGCTATGAAACAGTGAAGTCAATACATGGAAAACACAATGGGTTAGCACTATAAATCTTAAACAACCCTCACCTATCCACAAACAAAATAAAAAATCTCGAAGGACAGTTAAAACATCGAATAACCATTAACTTTCAACTTTGCCCGACATTGCAAGCTAGCACTGTGTTGCTGTGAGGAAAAGGAAAAATTGAACTATGTTGCTGCAGAGGAGGTTTGAATTTCGATGAGCACAAAGCAATTACACTTACTTGTAATACTCTGAACCAGGCGCGTTCAAGTAGTTTGCAGCAGGATTAAGTTGGTGTTGAAGTGAAGTCGTGCCACCCTCTATTCCTCCAGCAGGCACAGGAGATTCCTGGAAACTTGCCACTGAACTTTTTCCTGATGACATCCCTGCAAAGAGAATGGAATGATCATAAGATATGTAAAAGCGACGTTGTAGCTAAAACAGACATGAAAGCCAAATAGGTCATTGAGAATTTTAACATGATACCAAGAAGTTGGTCGATGGACTAAGCGTAGGCCAACCTATACTTGTATTGCTCCATAATTGGATCTAATCTCTTTGTGTGCAAGCCAAAAACTAGTTTTTATCTCTATTGTACCTCTTTAAGATAAAGCCCTTTTTGCTTAAAGAATGGACAAAATGCAGGTCAATTTTACACATTGTTCCATAAAACATGCCTTATTCTACTAAGTGATGCAGGTTACATGACTTGCAAACTTTCCAAAATAGGATTTAATTATCACAAAATATGGGCTGCATGGATCATGAAGAGGCTATGATATATTAAATTATTGATCCCATTTCAATTTCCAAGGATTAGCCTCCCCAAAAGCTTAAGTTGTTAGGTGCATGGCTAGCAATGGCTTTCTATCTATAGTGTCAACCATGAAAATTCCTATTTCGCTTCCTAAAATGTAAACAAATATCACAAAGAAAAATGAAAAGCAAAACAATATGAAGAATAAAACCTGAAAGCATGAATAAAACCTAATACATGGTCTGGTTAGCTGGCACCAAATTTACGTGAACATAAAATAAAAATGAAAAAAAAAATCTCAATACCATTGACTTTAAACTGAAAAAAATTGTAATATGAGTAAATATGTTTAAGATCTGGCAGCACAGTGTTATAGAATAAAGCCTTAATTTTTCATTTATCTTTTACCCTGTTTTGTTCTGAAACTTTTAAGTGGTCTGTCTCTTGCAATTCTAACCTCCTCACTAGGGTTGAAGAAAAGACCATTAGAACTGACAAACAGTAGATATTACCTTAACCCTAAACTATAAACAGAAATTCAACATGCAGGTATTTCATGGGAGATTACTGATCATATATTAACCTCAGAGGTCACTCTTGTTCATAAATCTTCTGTTCAATTACACGTAAATATCACCAATCATTTAATTTCAGCCACATACGTAACAAAGAAAATGCAAGATCTGTATGCACAAGGAGGTTAATTCGATAGCAGATCATACCTTGGAATATAATTACAATAAAGAAGACAATAGTGAAAACCATGGAAAATATGCTGCTGCTTGATGAAGTTGATTTCACAGCTTTCATCTTCTTCAAGGCTTTCATGCGCTCTATCCTTGCACGCTTCAACATGGCAAGTTCAGTGATATCCCTGATTAACTTCTGGTCAGCTGCATCCAACGACGGAGCTCGTGGAGGTCTTGGAGGTTTGGGAGCCTTTTTGTTACTGGATTTTTTAAGTTTCTCTTTTACCACGGTCTTTGTTGCACTATCTACTAAGTCTTGCCTTGCCACTGACATGCTAGTCACTTTCAAAACATCCACCATAGGAACTCCACTTAAATTTGATTCACTGCAGTAAGAACTTGGCTTTTCATCACCCGTTATATAATCCCCAGAAAACTTAGCAAATAGTGTCTTTCCTTTTCCTGCACTACTTGGAGTAAATTTCTGCGAATCATCTTCATTTACAGTTAACCCTATTTCAAGATCAACTTCAACATCTCTTACACTTTTATGATCCATCCCAAATTTCCCAAAGCCACAAACCCAGTCCAACTTCTCTTCCCTTATTACACAGCAAACTTAGAGGAGCCACAGAAGATCATACAAAATTTCAACCTCAACCAAACACCTGAATTTAACCCATAATGCAAACTGGCCTCCTGAACTGACCATAAATCATCGAGAAGACAACGTACTATTCAACTCACAATCACAATTTAGGTGTCTCCCAAACTTGCACTTCAGACACGTTTCAAAATATTAATAAACATGAGATTACCATCAAACTCTTTCCATCTTGCTTTATCAAGCTCTATTGCCAAGACCCCAATTCTGATTCCAACGACTTCTCAGAAAAGAGGACGAGGTAACCCTGCATTATGACAAGAAACACAGTTGAGTTCAGTTAATTACATGGGAACTGGTCTTGTTATGAGATGTAAAAGAGATTAATTAAAACAAAGAAGTGAAACTACAAGCAAGCTAAAAGGGCCTATAATTTCAAACATACAAACGGAATAAATCATCACAAAATTCTTGGGAAGAAAACAAGGAACCGAGCAGACGGAAAACAGAAGTCCAAGAAAAAGTTAAAGAAGTGGGATATCAAAGAAACAAAAACCTACAAGGCCGTATCAGTGGCTTGGAAATGCCTCTCACCCAGGAAAGAGCCTGAGAAGGAGGTGGAGACGAAACAAATACATACACACACACATACAAAAACGATGAACCCCACAAAACAAAGCAAACGAAAATCACTCTGTAGCCACTACCCCACATCATATGGAGTCACATTGCACCCGGTATGATCATTAAATGCCCCATAAAAGAAAACCCACAAAAACCAAGAAACACAGAAACTTCGGACCAGCTTCAGCCATTATAATATTAATAATAGCAATAATAGCATCAGACAAAGAAGCTCAGGAGGAAGAAGAAACGAAGATACCTTTATGGCAAAGCAAAGGAACCCCAGATCCGATGAGGCATTGAGCGAAGTAACTGCGGTAAAGAGAAGAGTTGAATTTTCTCAGAGAGGCAAAAATTAAAGAGAGATATTGACACCACACGAGAATAGAGGAGGTCAGGAGGGTGACCAGGAAAGTACTGGAATTTTAAGATTTAAAAAAGGAAAATCACTTCTTTTTTGGCTTATCTCTCATTCTCTCTCTTCAAATTGTTGTCGCTTATCATCATCTTTCAATTTTTCTCACTCCCATGTGCTGTAATCCAAATCGCCATATTTATGTATTCATCGAGAAAGAAAAGACGCAATATTGATCGAAGCAAGCAGGCCTTGCCGATGACAGTTGGCAAATCGGCATATTCTCGTCGTGGCTTCGACTGATTTGTTGTTTTTTGTTTCTATAAAAAAGTTTTCTGTACCTTTTTTTGTCATTTTCTTTGATCCATTGTTTTAACTAATTACTACTTTTTGTACTTAATTTAAGATTTAAGATTCCATGCCTTCATTTTAATGCCTAATTTTGGCCTTTTTGTTTAGTTGCTTAACTATAGTATCAATCTAGTATGATTTGATTGTTATGCAAAGAACAACTTTTTTTTGTTAACAAGTGGATTTAACAAAATTTTCATATTCTTGGTAGTTTTTACTTTTTAGTGTGGAATAAATCAAATGACTTTCTTAGTTTGTTCTTTATTTCTCATTATTGTTGCAAATATGGGCTTGATTTTTAAAGAAAGAATAAAATTTAGTTTGTGTCAAAATTAGAGAAAGGTATTACTATTACTATTATTATTATTAAAAAAATTAATCATTTGATCCTTATAGTTTGACTCAATTGTAATTCAATCCCTTAATTTTAACTCATTATAACTTATTATTTAAAATTTTAACTCAGTTATAAATCAGTTATTAAACTTTGCTTATTACAATTTAGTCCTTAAAGTTTCAACATCTTAAATATTAATTTTTATATTTTAAAAAAATTAATTATAAAGATTAAAAATATTTTAAGCTTTTTAATATTTATAATATTTATAAAGATTAAAAAGTTTTAATAATTTAAAATATTAGTAATAAATTTTAAAATATTTTTAATCTTTATAATTTTATTTTTGAAAATATAGAGATTAATATTTAAGAAATTAAAATTTCAAGGACTAAATTGTAAGAGGTACAATCAAATCAAAATTTTAGGAATTGAGTTGTAACGAGTAAAAGTTCAGGGATTGAGTTACAGCTAAGTCAAAATTATAAAGATTAAAAGATTAATTTATTATTATTATTACTAAATTAAATATTTAAGGAAATTGTCCACAACACACAATATTTTTATATTTATAATTTATGATATAATATAATTATAATTATAATTTATAAAACACACAACCCCATGCATACATGTATCCATCAAAAGCCGTGGCTACTCTCAAGTCATTAAGGTCATCATCTTGGGCCTCACATAAATTATAGGTCTTGCTTAAATTATAAACATTGAATTTTATTGTAAAGGATATAATATTATGAAATTTAAAAATAAATTACAAGGAAAATGACTTTGTTTCTCCATAAAATAGTTATTAAAATATATGCGGAGCATAGATTTAATGAAGAGTGAATGGAAAATATATAAAGATATTCTAATGAAAATTTTGGTTATAAATCACACATTTGTTCAAAGATTTTTTGGTATTGAATATTACTAATGATATCAATAACAATTGCCAGTATTTAAATAAGTTTTTAATTTTAAAATTGTCTAAATTATATAAAAAATAAACTATATTATAATATAAATTGGATGATGTAGTGCTGATTAAGAGTAAAATGTTAGAATTATTTTATCATAAAATATTGATAAATAATTTTACAACTCACAAACATAAAAAAATAATATACAAATTTGTGAGTTACATTACATGATATTAGACCTCTCCTGAAAACTTACTATAATATTTTTTTTTGGAAAAAAAAAAGAGGGATATGGAAAGAAGATATAGCATTTGAAATAACACAAAGTGGACAATAGTCTTTGCTCGATTGTACAATACTTATACATGTGTGTGTAATAAGAAACTAACAAACCATAATATTTATAAGCAAGTCTAATTTGTTAATCTCAAGACCCGTATGAGTTATATATTAAAATGCATTCAAGAAAAACCATCTTTCAATGTGCTGTCCAGATTGCCCACAAAATCTGAGAAGATGCAAAATGTGTTTGTTTTGATTTAGTCAATGGAATAGAGAAATAGTCAAATAGATTCAAATGAAGCTTCAAAGGAAGAAGTTGAAGAATCTATGAAGAAAAGAAGAAGCTGCCATGGGCCACTGTGTCTGGATCTTATCATGAGACCGATCCTTTTCAGCCCTTAGATGATCACTTGGACGGTTAACATTTGCTATTTGACTTGAGAGAACACCTGAAGACTTTGATTAGAGAAAATCATTCAGTCCTTTTTGGCGTCAATGTACTGAAAATTAAATTTTTCGTTGAATCAACAGAGACTGTGATTTAAGGGTCAATGCCCCAATCATGCCTGAATTAGGACTTTAACTAAAATATATAAAAAATATTCATATCCACGCTAAAATAAAAAGGCATTAATACATGGGTTAATGTAACATTTATGTATAAACCACACATAAATCATAATCCCATGAAATAATTACTAAAACATAAATTTGACAAACAGCTATTTTTTGTTGTTTTTTTTAGTCCAAAAAGATGTTGTTCCAAGTTCAACAAAGGGAGAAAAAAAATATAAAATCCAACCTAGTTAACCTGTTTTGAACTGGCCAGACATTACTTTATTGGTCTTAATAAACAATTTGGGTTAGGTTTTAATACCATGGTTGGCATATCATTAAGTTTATGATACAAAATTTTTTAAAGAATATATAAAATTCATTCCTTAAATTTTATGTAATGTACAAATAGACCCATCTAATTAAGCACGACAAATTGTACTTGCTTGTGTTTTGCAAAGAAGGCACCGAGGTTGTGTGGGAAGCAGATCCTCTACGCAGCGCATTACTCAGATTAATTTAAACTCCTGCTGGCTATGTAAGAGTCATGCCCAGTCTCATTGGTACTTCAAAGATATCTTTATTATATTTATTTAATATGATTGCATATTTTCAAACTTAAATTTGAGATTACAAGATAAGCTGATTAAACTCATTTAGCCAGTTAAACTGTTAAAATTTAGCTGGACAATTTATAATTGCAATAAAATAAATAAATAAATAATGTTAATAAATGATATATAGCTGTGAATTGTACAGGTTAACTTTTAAAAGTTTAAATTTATTTATCTCTTATAAGATAATTATTTAATAAAATGATTAAATCTATTGGTAAAAAATAATTAAATCTGAACAATTGATTTTATTATTTAAGGGTAGAGATGAGATGAGGAGAAAAAAAGGAGAAAGAGGATGAGGAGACGATCCAGATCCGGGTTGTGTGTGTGTGTGTGTAATATTAAACTAAGATATTGTATGTTTGAAATCACTTGCGCAGATCTTGTGATCCCAAATGGGACAATGAATTTAAAATAACAAGATTTACATAATCACGTGCAATTTTTGGCAACATCTATGGAATAAGAAGCAAAGGCACGTGGGCTGATATTAAGTGATTGGCCCACGAAGATCCTCGGCGAGAATTGTCACGTTACAGTGTCCTGGTCTAACATTAGAGCATAGGTAATAATGGACTTGTTTGTTTCTATTTTTAAAAGCCAGTTTTTTGTTTTTAAAAGGGTTAAAGGCAAATCTGCCTTTGAAGTATTTCTTGGAAAGCAATTGATATTTTAAAGTATTTAAAAAAGTAATATTGCTCCTTTTATTTTATAAACGATACAATATTGCCTTGAGTTAATAAATTTAAACCTTTGACTGTGACAGTTGACCTTATCTTGCTTAAGTGGCAACCATCTCGTTTCTACCTCACTCTTTTGTTTTTAAACCCATCTGTGACCCAACTGTGTACACTTTGATTATGCCTGGGGAGCTCACTGAAGTTGTACACAAGTGGAGCTGTGTAAGAAACCAATTAAATTTCTTAGCTTGTTCTTGTAGCTCAGAAATGGATTTCGCCATTCCTTGTCGAATTTCTACTGATACAGCAGCAAATGACGCAATTAGGGCAAACTCCACTGAAGCAACTCTTGCTAGTTTTGTTATATTCCTCAATCTTCGCATCATGTTTGATGATCTGATCCTCACTCACTAGCCATCAATTCACTTGGGGCATAATGAGATCTCCATTGATTGTGGCTCATTGGACATCTTAATTCATCTAAAGCTGTAGAGTAATGGCAGAGCTAGGATCTTAAGTTAGGGATGCAGAGTAATTTAATAAAAAATTAATATTTTTAAAAAATAATAATTATGTTAGGATTAGAATTATAATAATATAAATAAATTTATCATCATTTTTTATTTTAAAAAATTATATTGAACAAGTTGATATAATCTTTTATTATAAATATGCTCTTCATATTTTATTTAAATTATTAAAATATTATATCTTTAATGAGTTTTTAAACTTAAATATTTTTTATTTAGTTTAAAGGGAATAAAATATCAAAAGCAAGAGGTACAAAGTTATAAATTTTACATGCCCTGCTTATAATTTTTTTTAAAATGAGGGGGTGCATTTGCACCCCCTCACCCCAACATGGCTCCATCATTGTTGTAGAGTTTTGAGTCTCTTTGCTTGTCCACTGAAATTGTTGACATTTTTTGTAAAGTCAAAGAAGTAATTGAACTGATAAAAGAGGGATGGATTGGGTATTCGACAATCTTCTCCGTGCTAGAGATCAAAATGCTTGTCATCATGGGACGCCATCATAAAGTAACCTTCCTCATGCAATGCCATTATCTTCCAGGCAATCAATTTCTAGATTATTGCAAGAAACTTGAGCAAGGCAATTTTGAAAGAGGTTCTTATTTTTGAGTTTGATTTATTTATTTGTCATGAAATGTGCATGAGTTTTCTTTTGTTAGCAACGCTGGTTATGGTTATGGATATGAAATTCTTGGATGTCCATCAATGATAAGAGATGAAGATTGAAGATGAAATTCTTGATTTTGCGATGAGCCGAATTCATTGACACAGGGCCCCACCCTCTGATCAGAACCATAGAAATAATAGTACCTTTAAAGGCACTCATCAAAGATTCTCATAGCTGAATCACTAATACTGAACTAATGGCAAATCCTACAAAGGCATTTTCTAAATGCTTGGCTTGAAGCTCTCTTTGAATATTCGAGCAATTTGCCCGACTAGTTCCACTTCATACTGGTGTGAAATGTGAATATGAAATGCTGATTATGGTTATGGATATGAAATTCTTAAATGTTCATCCATGATGAGAGATGAAGATTGAAGATGAGGGAGGGAAATATTGGTGACAAAGTCAAGGAAGAGTTTTGAACAGAGAGGTCAAAAAAAAAAAAAGTGCGAAGTGGAAGCCATGTGTAATGCCCCCAAAGCAAAGTAAGTCACACTTTTTTTTTGAACTCAAAAATTGTTTTTAAATTGCCATAACCAAACATATTTTTATTTTGTTTTGTTTTGAAAAATAATTCTAAAATCTATATTATAAAACAGTTTTTAAAAACAAAAAAGGCAACAAAAACCAAACAGATCCTTATTTTAGGTTGATGCTCAATCTGATCAGCTTAGGAGGATCCATGTTATGCCTTTTTATTTATTTATTTATTTTGACCTTTTTTGTATTGAAGAAATAGTACAAAGCTAAAACTTAAAAATGGCAGCTCCACTTGATGGCTTGGAGGCAAATACACAGAGGTCAAGTTCATTTTCCGTGATGATACCTCTATCAATCCTAGACTGATAGAAATTTTTCTGAAACAGATATAGAATCCACCATTAACAACTTCATTATTTATTCAAATTATAAATTAGAGTACCATTAAATACTATCTGAAAACAAACCTTCAAATTGAGAATAAACTGTGGGACAACGCTCTCTTTCACCAACGCAACAGCACAACCTCCCCATCCAGCTCCGGTAAGCCTAGCTCCAAGAGCACCATTTTGGCGGCAAATGTTTACAAGCTCTTCTAACTCTGGACAGCTGATTGCATGAACAAGGGAAAGAAATTGTGAATGTCTTGTTTACTAATTACAAAGGAACAAATCTTACTAGGCTGTTGGTGGCAGAAGCAGAAGAAACACACAAAGCCGAGACGACTCTAACCAAATCTTCTGGTCTGATAATTGAAAGGTAATGGTTATTACTGACTAGCTCAAACGAAGATACTCTTCTAGGTTCAGAACTTCAGACGGCTTTATTCAAAACCTATTCATATAGTTTCTTGACTTAGAACAACTCAACCCTCGTAGTTTTTTGACTTGGTACAACTTAATTTTTATAATTCCTTAGCCTAATAAATTACAAGGACTAAGTTATACTAAGTGAAAGTTCATCGACTGATTAAAAATTGAGTGACTAAAAGTTATATTATCCCATTTAATCAGAATAAAAAACTTATAAAAAGAAACATTTGATCGGCAGCATTCTTCATCCTGGAATTTGACAGTCAACTGAGAAAAACTCGTTTAACACAGTGAAGCTTAACCAAAGATGACATATAAAAATCCAACACAAGCAAGAGAGTACATTTGTGTGTGTGTGTGTGTGTGGGTGTGTGTGTGAGCAGATTCTGAAAGCCAGTATTGTGTGTCAGCACCTGCATTCATAAAGAACACTGCAACTATGGTGACTTTCATTCATGAGATCACCCAGCTTCATCAGCATCTCCTCCTGGCTGAAAAAATGAATAGTTGAAGTTAAGCCAAATGAAAGGATGGGATTTTACCATTTCATAGTAAGATTATCAATTATCTAACAAATTCTTTTGCAGAATTAGTAATAATTTTAAGTCTTGTATCCATCACGTAAAAATTCATTAACAATTAAAGAGCATCCATGAAAAAGTATAGCAGTGATCGCCCCATAGGCTTACTTTACCGACCTTGAATTTGATGATACAATTTCTTGGAAAGCATGTACCCTCTTGGCTTCTGAATACACATGGGTAGCTCTCTGGAAATACATATTTAAAAATTAAATAATGACTTGTAAAAGGGACTGGTAACCCTTACAGCCAATGAGAAATTATAATTGTAACCAGGTGAAACAAAAGGCACAAGAAATTAATTGATATTTCTTAATAGGAGTAAGTTATGCGTAATTCGCAAGTTCCTTCCAGATGGCATCCATATTTCACTTTTGGATTGAAAACCTCAGAACTCATGTCAAATTCTAATCATATAAAATATACTGTTGAAAAAAAGAGAAAGGAAATTCAGATCTTAAAATGGGGAGTACAAATAAATGAAAGTCATTTTACTAATGTGAATTGAAGATACCTGATGTAATTTGTAGTGTTCAGCAACTTCAACCACGTTCAAACAAGCAGGACTACTGCCAAAAAATGAGGTAAGCTTTTCCACAGTAATGTTCTCAATTTCTTCAGTTGTATATGGTTCTTCCTTCAAAAATTCCTGCATCAAATGGGAAGATTTTTTTTTTTTTTTTTTAAAGCAGAAATAGGGTTGAATGTACACATAAATCCATATTGATTGCTACACAACGTTTTCATGTTTCTGCACTCGAGGCTAATTTCAAGGATTACTATTTTAAAAGAAAAACAAGGATGCCATATAAGACAGGACAAAATTACCTTGACAGCAAAAACAGGATCAGAAGATTTGTGACTGCTAGCAAATGATAAGCATAACCCTTCAACATCAGACAATGTTTTTGCTCTTGATATTGCCTCTTCTGGTTTCATTCCTAGCTTTACACCAAGCACTATCTAGAGAAAAAAAAATCCCAATAGTATATTTCAAGATTAGAAGAAACAAGAAGGCCAGCAAGTTGTAGGCCAACCTAAACTAGCTTTCCACATGGGCACAGAAGCACACATATAGCAACTGATTTTTCACATCTGATATGAACAGGTCTTCTTTTAGCTTTTTAACAAAAGAAATGGCTAACTGAAAGCTTTTGAACCTTCATCAAACTAATACCTAATTGGACCGTGTTAGAAGACTCTACCTCTCTACTTGTGTATTTCCTTCAAAAGCTACTCTTGTAGGTTTTGAAAGAGTACATCATTTTACCAGGGGAAAAACAACTGTTTTAATAAGAATGTTGCCAATTATGTGTTCACCAAATGCCAAACTTGAAGAGAAAGAGCATCCAATGTAATCAGTTAATGTGTTTTTTTCATTAAAAATGTTCTGAATAATTGAATGAATATCACCATGATTATGTCACTAGTGTTATAACTTATTTTGTTTACTGTCTGTAGGTGGATCGATAATTAAATTAGGGTGAAAAATTAACAGACTTTCCTTCTATAGTTTTAACCAGGGATGGAAGGAGGGACAATAAGTAAATGCAATAGGAGGATCCATCCTCCATCCCTGGTTTCACAACAGTTTATATTAGGCTTAGGGGCTGTAAAAAAACATTAAGGAAACAGAATAAAGGAAATGCATTCTTTATCTAAAAAGCACTTACAGAAGCTAAACGGCATTCAACAACCCTATTATTATAATTAGTAGCAGCAGTGACAGCCTTTTGAGACCCCGCCAAAGAATGGACTATGACAAAAGTCCCACCCGCAGGAAGTTGCACATCTGTTGTCCGAAGAGGGTTGAAATCAATCAGCTCTGCAAATCCAATTTTGGCCATGACAGAGATTGCCTGTCAACCAGAGCATTAAAAGAGCAAGAACAATAGCCCAAGGAGTCTTACCTAAGATATTCAAATAGATAATATCATATGTATAATGTAAAAATTTTCAATACTGAAAAAGTCTATAAAAGTTGGTTGAAAGCAGAAATGCTGTAATAGAATTCCCCCATTATTTGAAGTTTAGACCATTATTTTCAAATTGAGGCCTCAAACTCACTGACTAACGAGGATTCAGCTGTATTTGCTCAAAAAATAAAAAAACGAGGATTCAGCTGTAAAATCAAGATTTTTTTTGTTTTAAAAAAACTCCGTATTACTTCTCAATTCCTACTTGAATTCCACTAGGCAGCATTCTTGGCCATGATCCGCAACGCAGATGGTCCAATACTCCAATGCAATCTAAAATGACCTTTCTATCAGTAATTTATGCAAAGGCATTTGATGGACCCCTTTTATTTTGCTTAAAAGAATTCATTTTTTAATATATGGATAAAAAATAACACTGATTGCGTATAGAGAGAATAATGCCTATCAAATAAAATGGCTAATGGCCAGATTTTGTTATTGCCCCTCACATGAAAAATGGATTGGTTGAATGTTTTTAAGAATAGCTTTTTAATGGATGCTATCGGGGTCAATGAATCAATTTCAATCCACTTGCTGGCCACCCCTAGTCAAAAGGCTAGAGTCGAAAGTTGAATACATCATCATGTACCTGTAGAGTTTTTGCGCTTCCAAAAGCTCATTTTATTGAAAAGAAAACAGAAAGCCAAACCTACACTAGCGTCTCCCTGATATAGGTTTTATCCTGAATGATAGATTACAAAGTCAGAGAAAACATGCCTATAAGTTCAGCTGAGGTGCTATAATTGGATCATCAGTTCAAAAGAAACTAACAAAAAAGAACTGATTAACAAGACCATGCTTGGACAGGTAAGATGTGTACTACCTGATCCATCCCCCCAGATTGTGTTCCAACATGTCGCTCACATTCACATGCAAGTTGCGCAATTTCTTTCTGTCAACAAGATACAAATGATAGAATCAAGAAAGGTAAATAGGTAAATTGAACAACAAATAAAATGCTTTTCACTGCAAAAGGATGCTTTTAATGAAACCCCTGTGCAGATTTGTGGAAGTAAATGGTAATTTAAAATATGGAAAACAAAATTACCAATCCCTATAGTTTTATCGGGTTTCTTTTTCCTTGTAGTTTTTTTCCAGTATTTTCAGTCCTTATATTTTCAGCAAGATTGGGTGATGTTTGTTACTCAGGTCCCTATAATTTCAGCATTTTCAATCTCTCTAAGGACTGAAAGCACTAGAAAAAATGACAGGGCTAAAAGCAAGATTTAATAAAATTATAGAGACCGATCATTATGTTTTTCCTTAAAAATATAAAATTATACTGAATAAAGTTGTAAGAACCTTGTTCATTCTAGTATCAAGAAACCATATTTATTCTTAATAGATCATAAAACAGAAATGAATCATGAAGAAAGGCAGGCTTGCAAAAACTGGGGACTATATCATCTAAGGAGCAGCACATTGATTTGCAGTCATGCCAATATATATCAGTGATCAGAATCATTATCATAAAATTTTTCACTGTAACCAAATCATTCAGTCATTAATGTTTTAAAGAGAGTCGAAATATTATTTTCATTCAACTGATTTGCAGGTGATTTTGAAAACTAAACTTCCTCAAATTACAAACTTGAGTTGGACTCTCTTTCAAAATAGTAATGCATGAGCTACCTTTGGAAAGTTTACACCGAATGCAGCCAGAATAGCAATCAAGGAGGAACAAACAAAGGCTGAAGAGCTCGATAGTCCAGAACCTGAGAAGAAGAAATCTTGCTCATTAAATTTAACCCTATTATCAAACTGTAATAAAGCATCAGCAAAAAATAAACTTAAGGTCACTTAGAAGCCATTTGGCTGTCCTCAGCAGCATGAACGGAACAAACCAGTTGGAACTATGCCATCAACAAGGACATCAATCCCAATGGGTTGACCAACATCCACTCCTTTGAGTTTCGCATAGTCATAATAACCTTTGTACCTACAGAAACAATATTTTTAACTAATTTATTTTCTGATAGAAAAAGAAAAATTACTGATGAGAAGAGAGAAACAGCGCAGAAACAAAGGACAAGGTATCCTAAATTTAAATTTTAAAAAACAATGAACCAGTGTTCCCTTTGTTAAAAATCACTTAGAATAAAAAAAAAAAAAATCAGTGCCTATGCATAAGCTTCCCCCATCATTGCTAATCAGATCATAGTATTTGTCAGGGTTCATTCAGGAAAACAAAGCACATAATATTCTATCTAAAGTTGAAATAGCATATTGAAATTTAAAGTTATTAACTGAAGGTTCATCAATAATTGTTATTAATCCTTAACGTATCTTTTCGCACAAAATGCACATCCCCACCAAAACTTCGGTGAAACTTCATTTTGGAGCGACAAAACTGCTGTGTGCTATGTGATATGATGCCACTTGAAGGTCCAATTCATCCAAAACGTGAAGCTATTAGATAAAGGCCAATAATTTCGAATAACCAAACAAGAAAAAATTGCAGAACTACAGATTCCTAGGACTCACCCACAAATAAAATAATGGCCCCATTTGTGATTCCTCAAGTCGAGTTCCTGCATATGAAATTGATTGTGCCTCAAATTTTGATAACCAGAACATTCTTAATGCCAAAACGAATCATAACGGCATTATGGCAGAACACAGACGATTTAAGTTATCAGAGGTTAATTTAGCCTGTAAAATCAATGTAAACCAAAATTTATGAGAAGGAAGAAAGAAAGAAAGAAAGAAAGAAAGAAAGGGGGAGTTCAAAGATCCACCTGGCCAGGATCAGCAGGATAAGTGCAAGGAGTGTATTTCTCATCATTCACATTAGCAACCCTAATAATCTTTTCGTCCTCATTTTTCCGAATAGCGACAATTGTATCTTGCCGAATTGCCATGGGCAACACCGAATATCCCTCATAGTCAATGTGCTCCCCGATCAAGTTCACTCTTCCTGCAACGCAAAAAAAACGTCTGAATCTCCGTCTTCCATAACCAAAATTACTAACAATGCAAATACACCCAAAACGATCGCAGAAACCCGTCCATATGTTCAACTTTCCAAAGTTCCTTGCAGTTCAAACAGACCGCTAAATGAAAAAGGAGAAGGACCTGGTGAACGAGCAAAGACTTGAGGAGGGTGGCCGAAAATAGTAAGAAACTTGGACTTTAAATTGTCAAAACGAAGCCGAGCTTCTTCGAGCTGAGACCCTTCGCCGTAGACAGGCTCCAGTGTATTGTAAACCGGGATCGGAAGTTCTTCGTGATTCTTCATTTTTAGCTGTGATTTCTTCAGTCGGATTTTACAAGTTGACCAGGTTTCTGCACACTCGCTATCGACCAGCTTTTGCCGCGAAACATGAATTACCTGTTTCGCGAGTGACATCAGTCATTTTGAGCATCAGAATCAAATGCGCACTTAACTTCCTCTTTAACGTGAAAAGGCGATTTTAAAAATCTACCGAATACAATTGAGTAATCTCACAGCTTAGATGGTAAAAATGAGTCCACTCAAATTGTACATGCAGATAATCAATTCTAGTGATCAATGTAGCCATGCGAGAGCTCTTACCAGTTAAGACTCCACATTTCAACTAAGATTAAACAATGAGTTTCTTTGTCAAAATAATTCTATCATGATGATGATACATCCAATCTCCATGGTTTTCCCAATAACTGTACGAAAAGAGACACTGGTATGGACGAGCATAAGGAGATTAAGACATCATAAATTACAGCTTTCACAGAAAATTTGGTTTTCCTTTCCAATCTCAAAGATCGAGCAAGCGCTAGCGCTAGCGGCTGATTATCTGCATACAGTTCCGATCACTCCCCATGTAACCTTGCTCGCTGAAGAAGGCATTTTTGAAGCTTTATTTGTTTTCAATCATTTTCTCTTTTCCTTTCACTCATGACATTTGAACATGAAGCAAGTTGTGCCATGCATTGCATAGCTATGATTTTAATTCAAAATGGGAGAAATTTATGTTTGGCCAGGTTGCTTCCAATTATACTTCTGCTGCTCATCTCAAGTCTAAATTTTCAAGAAAATTAAATCGACAATATTAAATGTTAGGTGATTTATCACTGAAAGGCATAATAAAACAAAGCCAACTATTCTACTTTTACAACTTTATATAAATAAATTTTATATTTTTTTGGTGACATAAATTTTAATAATTTACATGTATGCATTGATGGTATTTATTTAGATATTTAATTATGGTCTGAATAGATATGTTTTATTTGAATGTATTCTTTCTTTAAAATATCTTAATAATAAAAGCATTTTCAGGGAGGTGAAGGAGGAAGTATTTGATGCCTTTCGTACTAAAGCAAGTGAAAATTCAGGGAAGTATTTAGGCATCCTTATGATTTGGGAGAAGTCTAAAACTGATGCTTTGTCATTTGTTAGAAATAAAATGGCTGTGAAATTGCCAAAGTTGGAAACAAAGGCTGTTATCCTTTGCTAGAAGAGAGGTCATGGTAAAGGCAGTTGCAAATGCTATTCCTATCTTTTCCATGTCGTGTTTTAAATTTCTCAAGAAGATATGTGTTTGTTTTGATAACATGATTTTTAGGTTTTGGTGGGGACAGAAGCAAAAGGAGAGTAGAATTCACTGTAAGTCTTGGAGTCATATAAGTAAGGCAAAAGGAGATGGTAGAATGGGTTTCGTGATTTCGAAAGATTTAATAGGGCATTGTTGGCTAAGATAGCTTGCAAAATGTTTCAAAGTCTTGATGATACTTGGTGTAAGATTTTGAAGGGGTTATATTTTCCTAACGGAGACTTTTTTATTGCTTAGAGAGGTAGCAAGTGCTCTTGGGGTTGGTCAAGTATTTTAGAAGGAAGGGATCTTTTGCTAAGAGACCTTTGCTAGAGGATTAATAAGGGGGATAAGGTGAGTTTGTTTGAGGGGAGATGGTTACCTAAAGGGGTCAAAGTTTCTTTGCAGAAGCATACCATAAATGAAGAAATGAGGAAACTGAAAGTGTGTGACATCATTAGTGAGGAGAGGTGGGACTTTGGAAAGTTTCTCGGTTTACTCACTGACACAGACAAGGAGTTGATTTTGAAAGTGAGGTTGCCAATGGTAGAAGGGGATGATAGGTTGGTGTGGATGAAGTGCAATGATGGTGTATTCCCTGTCAAATTGGGGTATAAGGCTGCTGGGAAGCATGAGAAAAAGCAGAAGCAAGCTGTACCTAGCAGATCCTATAAAGCTTCGAAGAAGCTTTGGAATGAAGTTTGGAAAATAAAGTGTCCTCCTAAGGTGAATCAGTTTATATGGAAGGCAATAAATAATGCCTTGGCAACAAAAGAGGCATTGTTCAAGCGCAAACGTGCCTTTGACCCAAAGTATGAGATCTATAAAGTGCAAGTTGAATCTATGGAACATGTTCTCTTTTTTTGTCCTTGGGTTAGGTTGTGTTAGTATGGATCTCCTTTGGATTTAAAGGTAGATAAAGTTGTGATGGTAAGATTGGAAAGGTGGTTGGAGGAATGGATGATAGCAAAGAAGAAATATACTAAAAAGGATGTTACTCTTTTTGCATGTATTTGTTGGGAAATTTGAAAGGATGGATGTAGCTTTGTGATGGAGGGAAGGGATGTTGATGCTGTGGGCCATTTAACAAAGGCAATTTGTCTGGTTCATGATTTTAAGGATGCAAATTTGGTGAAGCCAACGTTGAAACCTAGGCAGTAGCTACTAATTTATGATGTTTGGATGGCGCCCACTGTTAGTAAGTTGAAAATTAACTTTGATGTTGCTTTTTGTTATAGTAATAATTATGCTTCTGTTAGGGTGATCGTGAGGGATGTGTATGGAAATTTTATTGGTGGTTTAAGTTGCTTGGTCACTACTGAGTCACCATTTATGGTTGAATGTATGGGGTTGTGGAAAGCTTTGGAAGTAAGGGACAGGTTTGATGGGACGAGCTTGATTTTTGAAACTGATTGCCAAGATTTAGTCAATGGAATGGTGAGTCAGGAGATTAAAAGGTGTGAGTGGGGATGTGTTGACATTATGAAGAAATGCCTTTTGCTTTGGAGATCCTGTAATGACTGTGATCTATCCTTGGTGAAATGTAAAGGTAATAATGCTGCAGATAATTTTGCAGCTTTGGTTATGAGGGGTGTGGTACCAAAAGGATGGCTTTCAAAGCCACCACCTTCTTTGTTGCTATCTTTGTCGAAGGATCTTAAAGGTTTAAGGCATGATAATTGTGATTCAGCTTGCTATGGCTTGGTGCATGCTAGTATTGGTTAATTCTTTAGGTCTTGGGTTGGATAGGTTGTATGCTTAGGTTTTACTTGCTTTCTTTTTTTATTTTACAGGTGAATTAGTGTTGTAATACTCTTTTTTTAGTGATTAATAAAATGGCCTCTTTTTGCTCCAAAAAAAAAAAAAGTAAAAGCATTTTCTACTTTTACACGATTTTTAACTTAAAATATTGTATTTAAATGATCATAGCATCTTTCAATTAAACTAGTGCTTGCTAAAAGAAATAAAATAGAAATTTTTATTTAAATCTATACATTATAACTATATATAAAAACTTATTTTTCCTTTTTTTTTCATCCTTTTGTGTTTATAATATTGTTTAAGATACAAAATAAGGTCTAGGCCTGTATTTAGATTTAAATAAATACCTTCTCTCTTTTAATTCATTATTGTCTCTTTATAGAATAGTCTTGTTCCTACAGTTATGCAAATTCATTTTTGGTTGTGCATAAATATCCTTCTATTAAAAATAATTATATTAGAAACATGATCAATTATTAAATATGAATGTCTTTTTTAACTGAAATTTGAATATAAATTTATTACACATTTCGTTCAAAAATATAAGATATTTTTAACCAAATCTCACCCCCTAATAAAATAGTTACATACTTTTAAACTAACTCTATCTTTTCATATTTATTCCTATTAAACATTTTACAATAAATATAAAATCATTATTAATAGGGATAATTTTTAAAAAAAGACAATAATTACATCTTAAAAAATTAAAAATGACTTACATTTTTTAACATCTAACTTATCAAAAAATGCCTTATATTTTTAAATAAAAGAAGTATGTTATAAGACACTACCCCTTTTATTATGTAAATTCTTTTTTCTTAAAACTAAGTTTCCCTACTCATTGCTCAAAAGTTTAACTTAATTATTGAATAATTATTTTCTTTTTCTTTTATTCACTTTAGTCCAACAACATCTTAAAATACTTGATCCAAGTTCTGTATGACAATAGGAATAATACTTCCTCTGGTCCTAAATGTAAAAAATAGTTGAAAAGTTTTTTTGGATTTTAAATACAGGATCTTAATTTAAATTTTTGTTCAGATTATCTTCATTGATTGCGCGGTTTTTCTCACTATCTTTACCTCTAACATTTAATATTTTCATTGAAAGAGGCATTTCAAGAAAAGTAACATATTTTTTAAAATAATAGTGACGAATAATCAACCTAACAGGTTTCCTAAATCATCATGAATTACCAGGTTTTATATTTACTATTTAGGACTGTAGACAGTATTACTATTTTCCCTCCCGAGTTGATAATTGGATGCAACTTTAAGGATGAATTAGTGCCCATTTAGATTTTAATTAAGTATAATAGATTATGAAAATAATTGATTAAATGACAGATTTTAATCATAATTGATTATGAATAACATTTTTTTAAAATTAATTTTAATAGAATTGAAGATGTTTGAATAATTTATTTAGAATCAATTTTAGTTGTATAAATTATCATAAAGAACATTGCATTTCAAAATTAAATTATTCATAAATTTATATCTAATATTATTAAAGTTATTACATTTTGGCCAGGTGTTTCTACTACCGAAAGTGTGCTCGAGTCAATAAGTGGTTGATCCAGGAGAGCCTATGGTTTCATGTCAGGGAGCATTGGAGGTTCGGTGGCTAGACGATCATGCTAGTGTGTATTTGTGTAGAATTGTTTTGAAAAGAGGAATCATTTCTCATTATGATATATATATATATATATATATATATATTACTTTATTTTTTCATTTTGGCATGGTTATCTGTGGAATAGATATTTAATGAACTATATTTGGTTACTGAGATTTTTATCTCACCCATAGTTATTTACATTTTTTAGGTTCTGGTGCTAGTGTTCAAAAGGAAAAGACATTAGCTGAGTTGAGATCTCTCACTAAGCCTTTGTAAGGTTTTGGTGTAATGAATTTGGTTGTTATTAGTCTTGTATATGTATAAGTTGCCATAGGATTTGAACATGTGCATAAAGATATGATTGTGGTATGTTTTGTGATTTTGAACTCCCTAACCCTAGTATATGTGTAAATGATGAAATGACTGGATGGGCTAGTGGATAGGTGTAATTATGTGTGAATATGAGATGAGTAGAGATTTTATGTAGTGATTTGGCCATATATGGGAATAAAGAAATGAAAATGTGAATTTAGCCCAAAGGGTGAAATAGGCAATTTATAGGCCAAATTTGTATATGTATGTTATTTTATGTATATGTCTAGTCAATTAGGTGTATATTGTCTATTTGGATTTGGTCAAGGCCTAAAAAGTAGCTAATGACAATTGGTTTCAAATTGAAACACTTAAGTGATAAAAATTTTTTTCCAAAAAATGGTCAAAGTGCACTTTAGTATCTAATTTTTGATAGAAATATCGAATTGAGATGAAACTAGTGTCATTAATTAGATTTCAAAACAAGCTTCATGTGGACACTTGAACCATCTCAATCGGACATCATATATGGAAATGGCGCGTATCTGACTTTTGTATCAAAAACTGCCATTTGATAGCAAATTCAGGTGTGTGCGTCACAGTGCATGTACCTGCATGTTGCGGCTAATTTGTTTGGTGAGTAAGA